TATCTGGTCACCCTAACAAGGATGTTAAATTTAATTACATTATGGTTGCTATTCCTGAGTGGTTCAGCTATATTTACCTCTTGGACCAGATCCTGTGCGCCACTTAGGACGAAATCAAGAATTGCCTCTCCCCTTGTGGGTTCCAGGACTAGCTGCTCCAAGGAGCAGTCATTAATGGTGTCCATTAACAACTAACTTCCATTGTAAGACACCTGATACACAATGGTCAGCCAGGGAGATAAGTGTCTCCTATCCCTTGTCTGAACAGAAGCTGTTTATCACCTTCTGGTGACCTGTCTTACATACCTTAAGAATGCAGTTTTCAGTATATATACACACACATTATCTCTTCCATATTATCTGTAATATATTTTGCAGTGATTGTGATGAACAGTGTGAGACAGGCTTTCAGTAGAGACCTTACATGACATTCTTTGGCACATTATTATCCATATAACTGATTCAGGGGATCCCTGTAAAACTCTATGAACCCCCTTTGCCCTCTGCCAATTGGTTGATTGCCAGTCAAGAGGTTCCTGGGTCACAATAGGTTAAGCACTAGGCGTGCAGTATTGCTAACCTGAAAAATGATGAGTCAGGCCCACCCAAAAGCTCATGATTGGCTTTAAAAAATAATGGATTTTGGGGTTCTTTTTGTTTGTCTTCTTGTTTCTGAGCTTTTAGCATAACTGAGTCACATTTTCAGGCTTTTTTCTAGCCCTCATGGTTGCTGAGAATTTCAATTAAAAAACAAACAAATAAAAAAACCCTAAGATTCTCATGTGAATCACCGCTTTCCAGGAGCTGGGACTTTAAGGAACACACCACATATTGCAGAACTTGCAATACAATCACAAGACTTGGCAACTTGGTGCATAATTTTACTTGCACTTTGGCTGGCGTGACACAGTTTTGTTTACCTTGTTGAAACCTACACTAGGACTTACATGGTCAAGGCTGGAATGTTATAGCTATAGACGGAGGTCCACATAGTAGGCGAACACCATTGGAAAGTTAAAAATGTCATAAGTATTGAAAAATCAGTAAGGGTTTTTTTCTGATCACTTTTGAGGGAGACCAAGCCCAGTGCATTTGTTGGTTTTAATATCAAGAGCATTAGACAGCATTGCTGATATACACATTTATTTTGGTGTGCCTTCATAAAAAGGATATTGCTGTTCATTCTGATTTTTTTTCAGACCCAGTTCTTTGCATAGCTTTATACTCAGCTATCCTGTGGGCAGACCTGAACACTGCTGACTGCTGCTTATTCTGTGCAAAATGTAGTTTGCATGGCAGCAGCTTGAATAGTATTTTCCATTGCAGTCCATGCAATTCCAGGCACTACTCTGTCTTTTCACATCTACATGTCAGTGGTAGAAAAAAAAGTGTTACTAATTCTACACAGATTAATGGGTTTGCAGATCGTTTTCTGCACCACATATGAAAACTGGTGAGCATAGGTTAGCCCAAGAGAGGGAAGGAAGGGGAGACCCCCCATGACTATATCAATGTGATGTCATCTGGGTCTGCTTGTATTTATAGCTTAAAGCTACAAAGTCAGTGTGGAATCCAAACAGGAAAGCTAATCATTAGTGTATCGGAATGCACAGGGCAGAGAAAAGCAAATGAAGATAACAGGGTATCTGTAAATGCAAGAGAAAAGCGAGTAATTCTGTCATTCAGCTGTCTAGACTGTTTGCTTTAGTAATGTAAAGCTGTGAATGAGCCAGTGAGTTGCAATTATGGCATAGTAGCTTTGTAGATATTCAGAGACAGCGGTGTGGAGACTGAGAGGATTTACTGAGTTCCTGTGGTGTTGGGATGTCGCACATGATGACTTTTTAAGAAAAAAAAAATAAAGAGAAAAAACCCTGAAAAAACAAATTAGCTCAGCTGTCTTTGCTAAAGAAACTAATGAATTAGGCAATCAGCATTAAAAAGGTGCCTGTTGTGGTGATAATATTATAACTTTGAGGGTCAGAAAATAGAAATACATAATGTGAAGAAGCTGGGATTTTTTTCTCTTCTCCTTTTATTCAAATGCTGAGGTCACTAATTAATTTAGTTCTTTAATATCTGTAGTCAGTGTGTTACTATCAAATGCTCTTCTAATAGTTAAACTCATTTAGCTTGGTTTTGTTCAGATTTGTTTCTTAATATTAGCTTCTACATTTTTTCATCTCGGAGCTTGTTGTGGTGCACAGCCTTTATCATCTGTATATGTGAAAATAGCTGTTCCAGATGGCATACCAATCCTGCATCAACTGCAATAAATTACTTAGCAGAGTGTATGTTCTCCTTACTTTTTATGGTCATGTTCTATATTTGGAGGTGCAGTGGAAAAGATCACATGACAAAACTATCATTTTATATTAATGTTTGTCTCCCAACTAGTGGCTGCTGGATACAAACTAATTCTATAATTCTTACATTCATCCACTTATTGGAAGTAATTTTCTGATGCTACATTTTAAAATGTTATAAAATGTAAACCTGTCTACCATAAATTAATTATATATGGGAATGGAAGGGGGTGAAGAGAGCAAAAGAGGCGTGTGTTGTGTTCTGTGAGAAATTATTTTAAAGGCATTTTGAGTACTTCGATTTATATGTTTTCTGAGCTGTTCAAAAAATTAAGATAACAAAACATTGTGAAACAGTTTTGAACT